TTCGGCAGTCAGCATACGGTCTTTTTTGGGTTTTGGAGGAGAGGGGGGTTTAACTACCAGCATGACCGCAACAGTCCTAGCCTCCCTTCTGTGTGGCTTCTCTTTCACTGTATGATTTGCATGGATTTACTGGGAAACACAAAGACTTCCAGGAACTGCTAGCAGGCCAGGCTCGTTTCTGCTTCCTAGTAGGTACTGGATTCTGTTTCCTTGCTCAGCTAAAATTAGTCGTCCAAGCCTTGGGCTTGTTAATGCCAGAAGGATGTTAAGACAAGCACTGGGAGAAATGAGATGGTCATTATGCTGAAACCTTAGGACAGTGGAGCCGAACCTATAGAATGGCAAAATGGAGAGTTGTAGGAAAAAATCCTCCCAAACCAAAGAACTCATTCAGAACTTTCCAGAAGTTAAAAATAACTATGAAAGTCAGGGATCAGACTGTTTCACTTAATTTTAAAAGTGAGTGGGGAGGGTACAGCTCAGTGGTAGAGTGTGTGCTTAGCATGCATGAGGTCCTGGGTTCAATCTCCAGGACCTCCAATTTAAAAAAAAAAAAGAAGAAAGCAAGCTAGAATAGATTCTGTAGTACTAAAAAAAATGTTTTTTAAAAGATAAAAAAGTGAAAACAATTTCACTGAGACATTCACTGGCGTCTCGGAAATTGGCTTGCTAATCACCATATTTGGGCAAATGACGAAAAAGTGAGGAGGGGGGTTGGGACGTTCAGGCATGGTTCAGTTCTTTGAGGTCACAGGAAGAGAGCTACTGCAGTCACTCCTTTATTCAACAAACACGTCTCGAGCAACTACTGTGTATCGAGGGTCATGACAGAGGCTGGGGGTACAGAGCAAGAGACAGAGAGGGACTTATGGCGCAGAGAGAAAAATCAGTGTGTATGCCAGGATGCAGGGACCGTGAGAAAGGCACAGAAGTGCCCAGGAAAATCTGGGCAGGTCGGGATGGTGCTGCAGCGTCTAAGGTGGTCTTGAACTGAGGGCTGAAGGATGGAGAGGGAAGGCACGTGGGGAAGGGGAGGCGAGGGGGCATGCCGAGGAGGGACCAGCCCCTGCAGGGGAGCGGATGCGTGCGAAAATGGTGCACTGGAGGCCTGGCCCCAGCATGAGAGGACACAGCCTGGCACTGGCAGTCCTCCCTGCTTCTGTTTGTGGGAACAGATGTGATGCAGGTGTATGCAGGTGCTGGGTGATGAGGCTGAGCTGGGAGCAGGGACCAGACCACCAACAGCTTTGAGACCCTGAGAGTTTTGCCCAACAACTGCATTTGAGTGAGCGTGGGTTATAATGGGACAATCTGCTTTGTTTTATTCCATCCCATTCAGGCCTCTCTTGAGTCAGTCTCCTCATTTTCGGCCAGAGCCCTTTGGAGCAGTTGTATCTGACACTTCTTCCACTCATGCTCCAGAATGAGGCCTGGGAGAAGACCACAGTGTTTATAAAAAGGCGTAAAACCATTATCTTTTCACGGAACTCTATTCTGTGTTTTACAGTTATCAAATCAGATATTATCAAAATGTACACAGAAGTATTCCTGATTTAGCGTTCACTTGTATGGACAGCAGCTGAGAAGAGAGGGAAGAATGTTTTATTATGTGGAACAGTCTTAAAAATATATAATCATTTCATTGTGCTTTACTGCGCTTTGAAGGTACTACATTTTTTACAAATCAAAAGTCTGTGGCAGCCGTGCGAGAGCAAGTCCGTCAGCGCCAGTTTCCAGCAGCACTCGCTTACCTCACGCCTCTGGGCCACGTTCTGCTAGTTCTTGCAGTGTTCCATACTTTTTCATTATTATGATAATATTGGTCACGGTGCTCTGTGATCAGAGCGCTTTGATGGCATTACTACAACTCACTGGAGGCCCAGGTGATGTCTATTTTTAAGTTAAGGTATATACGTTGTCTTTTTAGACATAATGCTACTGCGTACTTAACAGACCACAGTCCAGTGTCGACAAAACCTTCAGATGCACTGGGAAACCAAACACTTCTGTGACTTGCTTTGCTGCGATACGTGCTGCATCGCGGTGGTCTAGAACCAAACCTACAACATCTCTGAGGTACGCCTGTATTTTGAAAAGTAATACAGACTTCCAAAAAAAAAAAAGAACTGTACGGAATTCTGTGAAAGTCAAAAGTGAACGTGCCCCTCGTCCCTGGCCCAGTTAACAACGAGCCTGGTGGTCTTATTTTAGAAATTACCTATGCATGAAGCAACGTGCGTCTACTTTTTGTTTCGTTTCGGAATATAAATGAAAGGATTCTGCAGACTCCTAATATAGTAAGAAGCACAGAAGCAACAAGTGAGCACTAGATCTGCAGGCTGCACTTGGCACTCAGCTTCAGCTGCCAAGCGCCCGGGGCCGGGTCTCAGAGCCCCCGGCGCCAGGGCCACCCCCGCAGCGCACCCGCTGCCCGTCCGCTCCCCGCCTCCGGCGGCTCTCCCCTTTCCTCAGCGCCCAGCTCAGCGCCGGCGCTAACGTGCACTTAAACATCACGTGGCCCATTAACTCAGCAGAACCATAGCGATGTGAAGGAACTGGGAAAGTTGTCAAAAGTATCCGTTTAGCTGTCTGATGACTGAGATTGCGCCCTCTTGTCTTGAGGCCTTTTTCCCCTCTTTTAGGAGTTGGGTAAGGGGTTTACTTGGGCAAGCTCCTCTGGCTAAGCAACTCCCAGAAATCTAGCCGGGACCGTCTGCAGTGTCAGCTCAGTGTTCTCTTAAACACACGCCGGTCTTTCAAGTAACCGACAAAAGGGTGACCTACTTTCCTGCGGAAAGTCAGGACTCAGTTCTGTCTTCCTCTCTGTGAATCCTGGCACTGACTGCCGTTTGTTGAGTGTATGACCTTGGAGGCAAATTACTCAACCTCTCATGGGGCCTTGGTTTCTTATCTATAACACGGGGAAAATCATTGGATTATTTTGACAATTAAGCAAGATCTTACAGTATTTAGTATGGCTTTTGGCACTGACAAAGTTTAATACAGATTTACCACTATTATTATGAGTATAGGTCCTCCAGAAGCACCCCCCCCCACTTCCTCCCTTCACTCTTCCCTTTGACTCATCTAAATAGCCCAGAGTGAGATTCCAAAGCTCTGCTTTTTCTGGGTTATGGAATGAGAGGCTGAAAGACTTAACAGTTGCATGCTGCCGAGAAAGGAGCTATGTTCTCCCAAACTCACGTGTTGAAGCCCTCATACCAGTGTGCCTGTGTTTGGCGAGAAGGTCTTTAGGAGGTCATGAAGGTTATGTGAGGTCATAATGGTGGGACCCCAGCCCTACAGGACTGGTGGCCTTAGAAGAAGAGGAAGAGAGAAATTTCCCTGTCTCCTACACGTGGAAATGCAGTGAGAAGACAGCCACCCACAGGCCAAGAAGCAGACCCCCTCCAGAAATCAGCCCTGCTGGGCCTCGATCCTAAGCTCCCGGCCCCAGAACCGCGAGAAGAGGGCCACGTCTGCTGGGAAGCCCCGGTCTGCGGTGCTTCACTGCGGCAGCCCGAGCAGACTCACACCCTTGGTTTCCTGACTCTCCAAGCTGGGCTCTTGAAGTATTTGTTTTTAACCAGTTTACTCCCCTTCCTATTGTAGCGTTTTACAGCAGGGGATGTTGCTGAAGCTGCACGACCTTCAGGACACATAAAAATGTAATAAATTCTTAATTTCTTACCAAAAGGACATAGGAGCCAACAGGCTCACTGGCCACAGAGGAGACAGAGTATCACGGAACACAATGACTTAAACTGAAAAACCGAATACATGAGCACGTAAGTTCCTAGTGAAATGAAGCAGCGCCCTCCCCAGCCAAGACACAGACCACAGGCTGCCATCGGGGGTACCCGGGCGTCAGCACCTGATTCTGAAAGTTAAAGGGAAAGAACTAAGCATTTATCCTGTCTTTGGGGTCAAACTGTACATCAGGGTAACTAAATAGCCCCGGTTGATGAAGTTCTGCTTTATGGAAGAATTATAGCTAATACATTTAGAACACAGGTGACATTTAGAAACCTCACCAGTTTGCAACGTCTAGTTGATTACCAATTCAGGCACTCATGAAAACACTACATGAAAGGTTGACATGGGAGGAGCAGCCATTGTCACGTGGACTCCCTGACCAAGTGCAGAATCACTAAAAGGGAGACAGACGGTCTGTCTCTTGACATAACGGAACAGGAAGGACAGCACAGCTTCTTGCCCCTGAAAGTGAGAGTTAATTTCCAGTTTGCAAGAAATATGGAGACCGAAGGACGAGTCAGACGCCACCACGAGGAAGCAGGCGGACACATCATCCTCTAGGACAACTAACTCAGCATTTTCAACAGTCAGCGGTGTGGTCGGGGAGGAAGAGACCAGGAAATGCAGAGTATCAACCAACTATAATGTGTGGACTCTGTTTAGCTCCTGATTTGAACAAACCAACTGCGCAAAAGACATATTTGAGCCCCCTGGAGAAATTTCAATGTGGACTAGGTATTGGAGGAACCGAGGAATTGCTGTAACTACTGTTTTGTTAGATGAGAAGACAGTGGCACTGTGGTTACACGAGAAAAAGAGGTCTCTCTTCCCAAGTATGCAGGGATGGAATAAGCGGACGGTTGAGTTTTCTTCAAAGTGCTTCACACACACAAGACGTTAAGTGTGCAAAGACAAAGCACCTCCAGCAAAGGCTGGATCCTTACTGGTCTGAGATAACAGGCACGGGGGCTTCCCGATACTGCTCTTCACACTTTCGAAAATTTTTTTATATTACTTTTTCTTTAAAGATTAAAGAGAAATAGCTATCTTAGGACACAAAATCTGAACAGAAGTTGAAAAAATGCATGACACTGTCATTTAAAGACAAATGCGGAACTATTTTCAGTAGACTTCTCTCAGATAAGATGTTCTCGTCTGCCCACACTAGCTTTTCTGTGCCTTCTGCGTGCATCACTGCGTGTTTACTGCCAAAGACGTTCTATATTGTCAACAGATACATTTACCTGTGGTCAATAATCATTACACTGGAGGGTGGAATCCCCAAGACTTCACAGCTCTGCAGAAGTTCTTTCTTACGAATCTCCCCTTGATTGTAGTAATTTCCTGAGGATAACAAAGGACAGAGGTAGGTTTCTTTACCAGTGGAGATCTGTTGGTTCACTCAGTCTTATCTTGTCCCCTAGAGGATCTGAGCTACCTAAAAAGTTGTTATTATGATAAAAAGTTGAAGAAAACACAACACTAAGGTTACTCTCGGACACTCCTGTGAAAAGCACAATCTTGAGAACCACCATTTACTTCCTTCTCATCTCTGAGTCTGTTCACATGCCTGTCCGTCCGCCTGGCTGCCTGAGTTTCAGTTGCATGCTGCAGGCTCTGAGCACTGGCTTTGGCATTAAGATTTCAGACCGACCCTCAAAGTGAGTGGGGCACCTGGACTCACTATTAGTTTGGGCCCCTTTGAGTTGATAATCCTCAAATATCTGTAAAACGCTCATTTAAAGAAGAGCCTGCCACTGCTGAGTCTTCTAGGAGACTGTCCTCCTTTGAAGAGTCTAGTGCCCAGCTTTCCCAGCA